GAAAAGGGCTTATTTTCCGGAAAATCGCATCTACACTGGCGCTTTTCTCCGGCAAAAACCCTGCGCTGGAAAAAAGCGGCAACCATGTAAATGCAAATGCCGCGGGGGAATATTTAAATCCCCGCGGATTTGCAATTCCGAAGTGTCTCATTAGCATCCCTTTTCCGGAAAGGGATGCCAATGTAGACACAGCCCTGGGGAATTAGTACAGAATGTCATGTAGCCCAACTTCCTTCCTGGAAGAGCATCTCCAAAGCTGTATATGTAGTGAAAAATTAATCTTTCATAACTGTTATAACTATGTACAGAACTATGTAAATATCACCCGATCATGAAATAAAAGCTTTAGGAATTAGTGGGCCTGGACTGATGAAGATGTCAATCTAAAAGAAGAAATAAAGAAATAAAGAATTTTCCAAATTCTAAAGGACAATAACTCCATTAGTCCTACCCGTTGGGAAATATCAATAGTATGAAAAGAACAGGGAAGAACACATAGGAAAGAGTATGGGACTGGTCAAAGTTTTCCTCCTATAAAATGTACTTTGTCACTTATTTTGGGAAACACAGAGTCCAGCAATTTCTTTAACAGATGGCACCTGGAGATTCCCACCCTCATCACTGAAAAGTGTGTCAGAAGGAGATGAAAAGAAAGGCCATCAAAAGTGAGTCTGCCTTTGAAACTTGACTAAAAGAGAGATAAGAACTCCTTCCTAAGGCAGTGTAAAGCTCATTTTAAGATGATGAAGAGACATACCATTTAAACTGGCTTCAAATACATCTGATCATCTCAAAGAAAACAAATTCTAATTACCCTGGATAGCCAGTTGAGGATATTTTTCTGTCTGCTTGGTCACTAGGAGATGATGGCTTGTTCTGCCCAACCTAGAAGCTCACTGGAAAAACTGCAGCTGTGATTAGTGGGGCATGGCTGTGCTCCCCCTCAGACTCAGAATCTCTTTTCTTGGTGAAATGAGAGTCCAGAGGCCACAAGAAAAATGGTAGATCTCTCCCCTAATAGATGATTAGAGAGCCAATTCACAGCTTGAGCACCATCTGGATTTGGTGCAGCACTTCTAAATTGCTAACAGGAGTGTTCCTGAGAAGGGTCTCTGAGGGAAAAAATGTTACTTTGAACACCAGTTAACTGAAGAAATAAGCAGAGACATGAATGGAAAAGATCACTACTCACCACCTACTCCCTTTCCCCACCAAAAAAGGAGCAATAAAGTCAACTGAAAAAAACATAGCAAATGTGGTTAAACTACCACACTTTGTCTATCAAAAACAGAATTTCTGGTGTGAAGTACAGTGCATTTGCATCCCAGTAAAATCATCTGAATTGCCCTCAGCATCTGCCAAGAGGTAATATAATCAGTGACAGTTGGGCAAAGACATGTGAAGGGTAAGAGACAGGTAAAAAGTGAAATTCTCTAAATTGAGTATTTTTACCAACTTGTTAATAATGTCAAGTATGTGCACCTGAAAACTACAAGGTTCATTCTTGTTTTGTGGGTTTGGTTATACTCTTCCAAACATTGCTCCACAACATCACTGAACTGTTGAACACTTGGAATTTCAATATAAAGTCTTTCATCTCCTTCAAGGTCAGGGTTCATATAATCTCCAAATACCAGACTTCTCATGTCTTCTTCAGTTACCTATAGCATAGAATCAATAACAAAGTCAAAATCAATTGTTATTTACCTAATTCAGAACATTTAAAAAATAAAATGAAAACTGGTTAAATATACAATAAAATAGAAAAGGGGCTCTGAAATATTTAACCTTAGGTAACTGACTAGATTACCTAATTGGTAGGGCTTCTATTTTGGGGTTGATTATTAATTTAATGGGGGGTGGGTATTTTTAGTAATATTTGAGTTTTATGGAGAAAAAAGGGATGTTCAGGACTTTCTCAAAGTGTGTTGTGTGGTATTATGGTGTATATTCTCTTTATAAGGTTCTCTAGTGCACTTTCATATAGTACTGTTTCATGCAGCAATATACTGAAGTGCACTAGGGAAACTTTAGTGCTCACCAGCAAGGCCTACATGGACTAATAAATGAGCAATATATTACTTCACTTTACAGATCACACCTCCTAGTCTACATTACTGATCCACGTAGACAAACTCTTTGATATAAGTAACAATTTTGGTATTTTTCTTTTATTTATAGGATAAACTTTTTTCTATTGGGATCTTTTATCATTGTTTAGTTACAGGTTATGTCCATCTCTAGTAAATGTTTTTTATTCATTCTTGGAACATAACTAATTCAGTCTCATGCACCAACATAATCAAGTTTTCCCAAGATATAACACAGAGATACAGATAGCAACCTTCCTCCCCATATTAGGAAGTAAGAACTTGAGCCATAATATTAGTTCTTTATCTTCTTATCAATTAAAAGGCAAAAGAAGGTGGGAAAATCAAATTATATAAAAAAAATCCAAAATACTAGAATGTGATCACAACAGAAAACGAATGGTCATCTGGAATGGTCCCTTAGAATGTGCGTTTACTACCTATGCTAAACAACCTATTCCACCTTATATTTAGCTATGATACTCTGAGTACCTTCCCCAGGCCTAAAGAAGAACTCTGTAGCTTGAAAGCTTGTCTCTTTCGCCAACAGAATTCAGTGCAAGAAAAGATATTACCTTGCCCACCTTCTTTCTTTATTAGACAATAAGTAATTCACAGACTAAGTCTAAACACAGAAGCTTTTTCCATTTAGTAGATTAGGTTTCCAGAAGTCCATTCAAAAATCTTCATCAGTGAGTTTCCTCTTGCAGATACAGGTTGGACCTCCATGGTCTGGCAACCTAGGGACCAGTCCCAAACAAGGGAATTTGCCAGACCGGGGGAGGTCCCCTGCTACCGTCTGCCAGACACTAGTCAAGGCTGACACGGGCTCTCAACCCTGGTTGGAGCTGCCATATGCCAGCCTGCTGCCACTGTGCTCCCAGCCCTGGAGTTCTCTAGTCCAGAGACATCCATGTTCCTTACCAAACCATGGATGTTGCCAGACCAGAGTCTCCCGGTTTAGGGAGGTACAATCTGTATCACTCTTTCAGGAAGATGGACCAAGATACAGATGGGTTTCTTCTCGTCATAAACATTGGTAAATTACTTCCAGATTGGGGTTTTGAGGTAGGTTTTTTTTGGTTTTGGTCTTAAAAATCATGGGCTAAGAGAGACACACCAAGGAGAAGTACCAATGGCTTTCACATTGTAATCTGTGCTAAAGCTGAGAGAAGAGACACACCAGACTGATGATAATGATTTATCATATAACTTGATTCATCCTAGAGTCTGTGTTACCTAGACTTTTTATTTTAATTTTAGACCCCTAAATGTCTCAAATAAAGAATTTGCCTAAAGGACCATGTCCTAAGTGAACAAAACTGTAAAGCTCTAATAATATTTAAAACATGTCAAATCCAAAATGCCCTTTAAGGGACTTTGAATATGGACAAAACTGAGGAGGTAAATATGAAGTAGTGAGCCAAGCATGGTGCTGAATCCTGAGACTATATTTAGGACAGCTGTCCTTTTTTGAAAAATAAGAAATAGTTCTTTATGACAGAAACCAAACAGATCCCCTGCATATCTTACCAAAGTAGCTATTAAGCTACTGAGCCTTTTCAAATAGGAATCAGTGGAGACCACTGACTGAGTTTTGCCTTTGATTATACAGTTCTAAGAGGCACAAGAGGAGCTTATCTGCTTAAAAAGAAGCCTGGAGCAAGAGTTCCTGCCTGTGCCACAAGGAAGTAGTCTGTGGTACCATATGCTCTATCAAGGGAGGTATGATTGGAACTCAGGACAACCCCAGTCACTCTGTGGGCAGAACAAGAGACCATGTCACAATTTGTGCAACAGAGCCTTGAGGAATATGAAGCAAAATGCAGGACAATGTAGCACTTTAAAGACTAACAAGATGGTTTATTAGATGATGAGCTTTCGTGGGCCAGACCCACTTCCTCAGATCAAATAGTGGAAGAAAATAGTCACAACCATATATACCAAAGGATACAATTAAAAAAATGAACACATATGAGGAATATGTGCATCATAAGGATCAGGAGTGTTTGTCTTAGTTGAAGGAGAATGAAAACTAAAGAGGTTCAATCAGTTATAAGAGTAACCTCTGCCAAGAAGGAAATGACCTGGAAATTGGTCTGCCTATCAGCATTAAACCTAAATAAGGAAGACCACTGATTCAGATTTGAGAAAAGACAGGGACAGAATTCCATATATTTATACCATCAATAAATCAGCTACAGAGACATGATTATGAATTAATCTCAGTGTACAAGACATGTGGCATATAAAGTATACAAAGTCCTATAAAGTAAAGGTGTATCAGTCACCACCAAAACAAGCATCTAAAAGTGACATACAAGTCAGGTCATTCAAACTAGTCTAGAAATTTTCAAAAGCCATCACATTTTCTTTAAATGCACAAAAAGATGAAAAATAATTAATTTCCTAAAATGTATCCTCCTCCCACACCCCCAAGGGGCATTATATAATTCTAGTTTTCAACATATTTTCCTAGCACAATACAGAAAAGTAAATAACTCAATACCATGAATGCCTGAAAATAAAAAAAACCTATTTTTATAGTAACGTAGATAATAAAAAGTACAAACCATAAGCCTACCTCTTGCCAGAAGGAAAGAAGAGAAAAATCTTTGTTGTAGGTATTTTTGGGGTGGGAGGTTAACATGCTCCAACACAATGAGCACCAAAACAGATGAGATAAAACATCCACTACTGAAATTCAGACATTTTGACTGAAAATAATAAAAATAAATTGTTTTGTAATGGCAACTGTGATTACTTACAGGTGCATTCCCTTGCCTCAGATGTGCAAAAACAGAATCAAATGCTTCTTTGAAATGGTCTTTCACTATGTCTTTCATTACTTTGAACAACCAGGATCTATCCGTGTCATCCACAAGGCGGTCATAAAATACTCGAAACACTTCATGCACAAACAGACGAATCATCGTATGCTTGCTTTCAACTGAATCTTTTTTAATGAGTAAGCAGCCTTGGACAACACGTGAAAAGTCACGCAGGTTGAATGTGTAATGTGATTTGGCTGGTGTAGGCAGAAGATTTTTCATGGCTTTCTTATATACCTAAAATATGAAAAAAAGCAATGAACAAAAACATATGCACCAATTACATGGCTTTTTTTTTTTTTTTGCAAAACATATTTTTCTATATAATATTTTGTTCTGTGAAAAAAATTCAAAAATATTAAACAAACTTCACATCATCAGTGTATGGTAAAAGTATTATCAATCCACATCCTAAAAGTATAACTAATCCAAAAGTGAGGCACTGCTAGAATAAGTGACTTACACATAGGAAGCCTGATGCTGAAGCAGGAATACAACCTAAATCTCTGACTTCCAGGGTGGAGTTTTAATCTTCCTCTCATGAAGGACTGAATTATGGACATGGTAGTTGTACAGATTTTCAGCTATGTGAATCAATTTGTTAGCATGACTAAATAGCCCGAAGATCATAAAAATACCCAAGCAACTGATAATATATGGTATATACTCCATTGTTGTGTAGAGTGTTTCATCTGTCTTTAGCTCATTTTGTGTGATGAAATGGAGACCTTTGTTAAGAATATTTCACATAGCATAATGAACACTGTCAGCAAGCATCTTTCCCACTTGCTCTAAGATACAGTCCATGTGCCTTGTTGTAGAGTTAAAAAATAACCCTATTAACAGGCAAAGAAACAATAAAATAATAAAATTTAGTCCAAACCTTCTCCCCAGACCTGCTCCTAGGTTCTTAGTACAGGGTTCCTTAGTTCACCTGCTACAAACTCTGTCAAGGGAATCCAACTCCAGTGCTCGCTGTCTCTGATTTTTCTGTTCTGATAGGTGTTGTGTGGCAGGGTACTCACTCTGTTTCCAGAACAGGAAATTACCCCTTTTTGGCCCAAATGGGATTTTTGTCCATCCCTACATATGCACTGTTGGAGCCCAAGCAAATTATTGTTCGAAAAAATGAATAAACAAATTATCTTGTTATACTGGTCTATCAAAAGAGAATACATCATTTTAAAATAAAGAAAATCTTTTTAAAATAAAGAAAGAAAAAGAGAAAAGAAACGAAAAAGAAAAAAGTTCACTCTTGTTCTCTAATCGTATGTCATAACACATCAGACTCCAAAATAAGAAGGTTTTATGCTACTATCCACAGTTCAAAATCTAAAGCTGTTGGCTTCAACTGGGGATTCTTCTTGCAGTAGAGGGTGAGAAAATGCAATTAGCATTCTGGAAGAAACTCAAAAGAGAGGATCCAAGAGCTTTAGGAGGACAATATTAGGGTCCTGTGCAGGAATAGACTTTTAGCCTGTGGCTAAGTGAGCCTTTGAGAAGCGAGGGCTACTCACCTTGTGCCATAATGAAGGTTCTTCAAAATGGTTGTCCCTGTGGGTGCTCCACCTTAAGTGTCTGGGTGCCACTGAACACCCAGTCAGAGATTTTTGGTAGCAGTGCATTCCAGTAGGCTGTGCACGTGGAGCAGATGGCATGTGCTGTACTACTACTGCGCATGTGTGATGGATAGGAGGAGTGCTGGCCAGCACCTGGTGACTAAGGGTTAAACTCAGGTAGTCAGCAAGCATGTTGGCCATGGGGCCAGGAGAACCAATTGAGATAGAGGGTTAAAATTTGAATTGGATATAGATATCTTGCTTGCTTTCTTTGTGTGGGAAAGTTAAAGAAGGACCTGAGAGATACAGAATGATTTAAACCCAGGCAGGACTGCTACATGCCTCCAAGAAATTCAGGGCATGGAAGTGGATTGAACAAAGAGAAGCTCGTGAGTAAATAAAAGGGAAAAAAGTTAATCTAGTCATGATCAGGGTATTTTTCTTTATTTTGTGGTTTGGTTTGAACTGCTGTGTGTGAATCTATGCCTCGCCTCCCCATGTACCATCTAAGCACTGTTCCCAGTGATTTTCTCTGTGTTTTAAGTTGTTTTCCTTAGTTGCGCTGTAACAGCTACCAACCAAGTATGCTTTATCAATTTTATCTTTTGTTTTGTAATAAAAAACACTTTTTAAAAGTGATTATTTGATTCTTGTGTCCTGGAAGGTACAGGAAGTTTATCTGACTGTGTGTGTCTACATGCCTCAGACTGAGAAGTCAGCTACCAGAGACTGCAGCTTGTTTTTCTCTTTTATTTTTTCAAGCTCTCTTGTGGCAGAGGACGTTGGGGTACCCCTGGGGAAGGAAGTCCAGGTGTTTTACTTCTGGCTTCAAGAAAGGGGTTTGTTTCACTTGGTGGTGTCAGCTTTTTTTGTTTATTTCTCAGAGCCAGTGTATTTATGACTCTGGGAGGGTTAGGGGGGTTATAAGAAGAGGCAAGGTATTTAAAGTCTTTGCGGGCCCTCACCTTCTGCACTTGGAGTGCCAGAGTGGGGATCAGCCACGACAGCATGTGCATCCAATCTCCTCTTCAGTTCCTTCTCTTCCCCAGAAAGAAAACAACTGTGCCTGAGGCAGGGGAGGGGGGAAAGGGCGAGTGGTGGAGCACCCACAGGGACAACCATCTCGAAGAACCTACATTACTGCACAAGGTGAGTAACCTTTTTTTCTTCTTTGAGGTGTGTCCTTGTGGGTGCTCCACCTTAGGTAATTATGGAGCAGTACCCATGATAAGAGGTGGGTGCTTCAGCTAATTAGTATCATCGCACAGCAGCTAGAACAGTATGTGCAAACTGAGTACCATGGGACAGGTAAGTATCAAGAGCATAGTGTCTAGAAAACATGAACAGAAGACCACATTGCTGATGTACAAATGTCCATGAGAGGTATGTTATGCAGGTAAACTGCAGAAGCCACCATGGTCTTTGTAGAGTGTATATGTTGTTGTAATGGAGGCTCTCGGCCAAAGATGGAGCAGGCCAGTCTGATGCAGTTCACTATCCACATGGATAGTCTCTGAGTAGAAATTGGTGTGCCCAAGGATCTTTTTGTGATAGAGACAAACAGTCTAGTTGACTTAAGGATTTGCTTGGTCTGGTCCAAATAAAAGGCAATTGCCTTGAAGACATCGAGTATGTGCCATGCAGCCTCCTTATTATCAGTGTTAAGCTTCGGAAAGAAGACAGGTAAGATTATGGGTTCATTACAATGAAATCAGTGGAGACCTTGGGAGAAACTTTGGTGAAGACAGAGAATGACTTAGTCTTTATGGAAAACCATGAAGGGAGGATCCATCATCAGTATGCCGGTCTCCTGACCAATGTGATGACTGCTAATAAGACTATCTTCATAGAAAGGTGGAACATGTTACCATGGGTTCAAATGGTTTACGGGTGGGAGCCTAAAGCACTAAATCAAGGTCCCAAGCTGGAACAGGGGGCCTGATAGGTGGGTACATGTTCTGCATGCCTTCGAGGAAGCTCTTGGTCATTGGGTAAATGAAGACAGATTTGTTGTCAATGGGCAGATGAAAGGCTGTTATAGTTGCAAGGTGAACCTTTAAAGAGCATTTTTGTTCAGACCAAAGTGAGAATCTTCTCCACTTGTAAAGGTAAGACATTCTGGTTGTTAATTTGCAACTGTTTAATAAAATGTGTTTGACTTGATCAGTGAATGTTGTTTCTTCTGAGGTGAGCCATTGAGAAACATACCTGGAGGTGAAGTATTTGTAGGCCTGGGTGACAGACTTGGCCTCCCTCTTGTGTCAGGAGATGGGGAAGCAACAGAAACCACCATGGCCTTCTCCTGAAGCAGGTAAGTATACCACGTCTGCCTGGGCCAACCTGGAGAAATGAGGATCACCGTGGTTGAGTCCAACTTTATTTTGTTGACTACCTGATGGAGGAGTGGAATTGGAGGGAAAGTGTAGAGGAGTCATGCATTCCAGGTTACTGTGAACGCGTCCCTGAGGAGTGCATGCCAATGCCTGCACGTGAACAATATTGTGGACACTTCTTGTTGGCATTGGTTGCAAACAAGTCCACTAGCAGAAAACCCCAGCAGTTGAACAGTTGATGGAGCATTTTGCAGGTCCATTTCCCATTTGTGATTGGAGTTGAAATTCCTGCTTTGCCCAGTAGAGAAGCAGCTTGTAGGTGGATGTCGTATGCAATGCACCATGTCCAAAGACGGACAGCCTCCCCGCACAGGTGGTAGGATCTGACTTTACCCTGCCTGTTGATGTAATATATGGTTGCTTGGTTGTCTGTGAAGATCTGAACCGTACTGTTGTGTATGAGGTGTAGGAAATGCTGGCATACATAAAATACTACCTTGAGTTCTAGTATTTTTATGTGCAGGTTGTACTCCTGTGGAGACCAACATCTTTGGATCCTGAGAGAACCTGAGGGTGCTCCCCAGCTCAGAAGAGAGGCAACCATCATGATGTCATGGACAGGGGTCATTTGTGATAAGGTACTCCAATACATACATTTCTTAGGTTTGTCCACCAGTCCGGGGAATGTTTGGTCCTGTTTGGTATTGATACTAATTTGTTGATGCTGTTGTAGCATGGTTTGCATACAGTCCTTAGCCACTGCAGCATAGATCTCATGTGCAATTAATGAGGTGGCTGCTGCCATATGTCCTAGTAGCTGGAGACAAGTCCTTGCAGGGACTTGTGGACTGATTTGAGCCAGTGATACAAGCTCCTGTATAGTCTGGAATCTTTGTTGTGGTAGAAAAGCTATAACCTCCATGCAATTGAGGTAAGCCCCAATAAATTCCATTCTTTGAGCTGGCTGGAGTTTGCACTTGGAGAGATTTATCTGCCCCACCCAGTTAGAGGCTCAGGGCTTCTTGCACAGAACTGACTGACTGGGTGGGGCTGAATAATCACCTGTGAAGTTGTGCTACCATGCAGCTTAGAGGGAACACTCGTTTCAGCCATCTAACATCCAAACCATCAGATGCAGTGATTTTTGGTCTGGGCAATCATCTAACCATGATTCTGAAACACCATGTTTGTACAGTTTGGGAGTGGAATAGAAGGTTGAACAGTCATCTGTAACAGATATGTCAGCTTAAACTACCATGACCAGTCAGAAGCTAAGTGACCAAAGATAAATGCAGTTCTGAACTGTCTAATCTTGGCTATTACATGGAAATTCATGGAATTGGTGGAAAAGTATCAATTCCACGAGAGAAGGCAGGCCTCAGGTAATGATCCTTGGCTTATGCCCCCTCTTGAGCGAAAGTTTGGACATTTGATGTCCTTGGTGGTAAACATGTCTATCGTGGAAATTTTCCATTGGTCAAATATAGTTCTGTGATGGACCCCTGCTAAAAGAACTCTGCTTGTGATGAATTGTTTGCTTAAGATATCTGCTTGATTGTTGCTGATTCCAAAGAGCTGCCAGGTGAAGAACTGCCAGGTTATCCTGGGCAAGGATGCCAAAACTGTTGTAGAAGTGTAAGGGGGTACCGGCACTGGAGCCAAGGGGCTACAGGGCCATAAGTTCCACTTTTTATAACACAGGCATAGTTGGCAGCCAAGAGGCTACATTGCCCCCATCCAAACTGCGAGACTTGGGCAGGAACAGAACAGCAACAGCAGGGGCTGGTATTTCCCCCCAAACTATGCCCATGTTTAAAAATGTGGGCATTATCCTCCAGTTGGCCCCCTGGTTCTAGCACTATTGCCTAGACTGATGACAATATATCTGTAACTTGACAGCTTTGTGACAGAGGAGTGATGAGCAGGTGCATTAGAAGCAAGAGGAAGACCAATAACAGGGTAAACCTATTACTCTAAAAAGAGGAAACAACAATGACAGAAAATGTGGAAATGGCACAGGTGCTTAATGAAGGTTGGTGGTGATTGGACACTTAACATAGTGAATGCCAGTGAAAATGGGGTAGGTTCCAAAGTTAAAATAGGGAAATAATAAGTTAAAAAATATTTAGACATATTAGAAGCCCCTCCCTTCTCCAATCCTCTACCCCTCACTCCTGTCCCCTATTTGGATACCCAAAACCTTTGTCCCCCTCCTGCACCCATATCCCCTCCCAGGTCTGGCAACCCAATTCCTTGCCCCAGATCCTGATGAAATGCATCCTAGAATACTCAAGGAGCTGACTGAGGAGATATGTGAGTCATTAGCTATTATCCTCTAAAAGTCATGGAATACAGGGCCAATCTATAAAAAAGAAAATAAGAACAACTCAGGGAATTACAGACCAGTCCACTTAATTTCTGTACCAGAAACAATAATGGAACAAATAATTAAGGAATCCATTTGCAAGCATCTAGAAGATAATCTACTATATATTTTAGAGAATTTGTCAGTCTAACAAACTCTCTGTCAGTCTGTGGCATCCATCCTTCCATCTATGAGTCTTTTTGTACAAGAGCTCCTCCTAAAACAGGCAGAAGCAAAATACAGCCTACGGGCTGTATCTGGCCCACCACACCACTGGATCCAGCCACGGACACTCTGGGAAGCTGCAGGCAGGCTCCCTGCTTGCCTCACCCCACCCCACCCACACGCTGCTCAGAAGTGTGCCTGCAGGGCAGTTTTTCTTTAAAAACTGTGAGTCCGGAGGGGAGGGGGGAAAGCTTTACGAGTTGCTCCCGCCCACAGCACATTCCCATTGGCTAATTTCTGTTTCAATAACAGGCAGCCACGAAGCACAAGGGGCTCTAGAGCACATGGCTGCAGCCTGAACAGGGGCAAGGCAGGGCAGGGCAGGCAGCAGTGTTCCCTCTAAACTGCCTGGCAGTACAGCTTCACAGGTGATTCATCAGCCCCGCCTAGTCAGAGACTCATGGCTAAGTACAGAGCTGACTGACTGGGCAGGGCTGATGAATCACCTGTGAAGCTGTGCACGTGTGTGGCAGGGAAGCTGATTCAGGAACAGGTTGCTGGCTGGTAACTCTCCTGGTCAGACCCTGCCTCTGGCACCCCAGTCCCTCCCTTCTCCAAACCTCTGCCCCTCATTCCTGTCCTCTACTTTACATACCCAAATCCTCTGCCTCCTTCCTGCACCCATATCCCCTCTCAGATCTGGTATCCCAATCCCCTGCCCCAGATCACAGTCCCCTCCTGTCCTTGATCACAATCCAAATCCCTGTACCCTTTCCTGTAACCCAATTCCCTGCCCTAGGTCACAATCCAGTCCCCTGCACTCAGTCCAGTGCCCCGGTCACAACTGCCTCCTTTACTCAAACTCCTGTCCTTACTCCAAGATCCCTTCTGCACCTAAACTCCCTCCTAGACCCCACCCTCGACCACTTTCCAAATTCTTGGAGAGGCTCCCCCATGAAAAATTATTGTCCACTCCTGTCCTAAATGGTAAGAGGTAGGACCACCAAATTTGGTATGCAGTTTTCTCTTATCATAATTTAAAACAAGGGCAGGGTTTTGTTGTGCTAGGAAAATGGGTTGCATGAAATGCAATTGTCTTGCATCGAAAGGGAAGGGTGTGACAGTGGAGATAGTTATACTCATGAAATGCCCTGGGGTGGGGGAGCAAGAGCCCCAAAACTGGAGAGCAGCCACTGGCTGGCAGCATGGCCCCTGCCACCTTGGGTTGCCTTCAGGAAGAAGCTGACTACAGTGTCATGTGCACCGCCCTTAGGGTTTGTCCTGGGGAGAAGCCAGCAGGTGGCCTGTGTGTCCTGCGCTGCCTTGGGCTGGTTCTGGGGAAAAGCCAGCTAGTGGCCTGCATGCTCCCCTACACTGGGCCAGCCCCAAGGCAAAGCTGGATGTGGTATATCTAGACTTTAATAAAGTATTTGATAGTCTTGCATGACCTTCTCATAAATAAGCTAGGTAAATCCAACCTAGATGGAATTATTACAAGATGGGTGCATAACTGGTTGGACAACTGTTCAGAGTCATTCTGAAAGGGCATAACGAGTGTAGTTCCTCAGGGAGATTTTGGGACCAGTTATGTTCAATGACTTTATCAATGATTTAAATAATGGCATAGATAGTACACTTATAAAGTTTACAAATGATATTAAGATGAAAGGGGTTCCAAGTGCTTTTGGAGGATAGGATCATAATTCAAAATTATTTGGACAAATTGGAGAAAAGGTCTGAGGTAAACAGGATAAAATTCAATAAGAACAAATACAAAGTACTCCACTTAGGAAGAAACAGCACACATACAAAATGGGAAATGACTACGTAGGAAAGAGTAATGCAGAATGGGAACTAGGGCTCATAGTGGACCACTTGCTAAATATGAATCAACAGTGTGACACTGTTACAAAAAAAAGCAAACATAATTCTGGGAAGTGTTAACAGAACTGTTGTAAGCAAGACACAAGAAGTAATTCTTCCAGTCTACTCTGCGATGATTAGGCCTCAGATAGAATATTGTGTCCAGTTTTGAGCACCACGTTTCAGCAAACATTTAGACAAATTGGGGAGGTCCAGAGAACAGCAACAAAAAATATTAAAAGTCTAGAAAATATGACCTATGAAACAAGATTGAAAAAATTGGGTTCTTTTATTCTGGAAAAGAGGAGACAGAGGGAACATAACAGCTTTCAAGTATCTAAATGATTGTTACAAGGAGAATGGAGAAAAATATTCTCTTTATCCTCTGGTGACAGGACAAGAAGCAATGGGTTTAAATTGCAGCAAGGGAGGTTTAGGTTGGACATTAGAAACAATTTCCTGTCAGAGTAGTTTAGCACTGGACTAAATTGCCTAGAGAGGTTGTGGAATCTCCATCATTGGAGAGGTTTAAGAGCACGTTAGAAAAAAACCTTTCAAGGATGGTCTAGATCCGTGGTCACCAACCGGTCGCTCGCAAGCTACTGGTCAATCTCGAGGCCTCGACCAGTCGCTCATGAGGCATCCTGTCAGCCCCGCCCCCATTTCCCTCCCACCCCCCAGAAGCCCCACTACTTACCTCGAGAGAAGACGGAGGTAGTGTCGGCTTCCAGCGCGCTGGGGTTTGGCCCCAGGGCTTCCCGGCGCGGGGAGGGGGTTGGCGCCAGGACAAGCGCCCGCGGGGCTTCCCTGCGTGGGTGGGGGGGTCGGCCCCCTGGGCAGGCGTGCGCAAGGCTTTCCTGCATGGGGGGGGCGGCCCCCTGGGCAGGCGTGCGCAAGGCTTTCCTGCATGGGGGGGGCGGCCCCCTGGGCAGGCGCGCGCGAGGCTTTCCTGCACGGGGGAGGGGGTCAGCCCTCTGGGCAGGCACGCGCGCAGGGCTTCCCTGGGGGGTTCAGCTCCGGGTCAGGCACGTGCCGGTTTCCGGGGGGGGGGGGAAGGGGGGGGGGG